ATGTCGACTCCACGAACATATAAAGTGTATGTTGGAAACCTTGGGGAAAATGGACGAAAGGATGAATTGGAGAAAGAATTTAAAAGATTTGGAAAACTGCATGATGTGTGGGTTGCCCGTAATCCACCTGGATTTGCCTTTGTGGAATTTGATGACCTGCGTGATGCAAAAGATGCCATTGATGCCCTAGATGGCAAGCATGTCTGTGGAGCCCGTATAAGAGTAGAAATGTCTCGACACAAGGGAGGCCGTGGTGGTCGAAGTGGGGGTGGTGGTGGTTACCGTGGTGACCGTTCTGGTGGTGGCAGACATTTTGAGGACAGAGGAGGAGGATATGAGCGTTATGATGATCGCTCCAGATCACCGTATAGGTAAGTAAATTGTCCTTTTAGTGAGATTGCCTTGGAGTAACTTGAGCTTATCGCTGCAGAATTTTACTACCTTTAGTTTTAGGTTTTTCTTTGTTGTGGAATACTTCTGTGGTAGTTTCCTTCAACCTTCATGATCATGATACAAGGGAGAGGAAATTAAAAAACTTCTCTAGTTTTAAAGAATATTGAATAAAGAAGTACTTTTTTTTTTCTCAAAAATGAAACTTTCATTTGGTGAATACTGCTTTATGTGATTAGGTTTGTCATGATTTATTATTAGAATGTAACAGTGCATAGACTGAAAATACTTTTTGAGTTACCTGTCCCTATTTTCCTTGAAAATGTTACAAAATTATGGAAATGCTACATTCTGAAATTGCATTTCAAACTGTCTTTATCTGTCTACAGGGCTTGAAGTCAATATTAAACTTCTGATTCAAATTTACTTCAAATCAATAAATACCTCTAAGTTTGTTTTGTAAATAAAACAGCATTTAGGTTGAAATGAATTAAAGCTAGGTTTATTCATATTTGTCCTTTTTTAACCCTTGACATCCTAACATCGTTATCTGTATTCTCCATACTATTCCCTATACATTTGCATTGGTGCTGAGAAGGAGAATTTGTTTAACAATCAAAGCTTCTTAGGTTGTAAGTAATTTTCCTTGTTCTTATGATCTTAAAATAAATGATTCAGCAGAACTACTGCAAGGAGAAATTAGGCACTGGTCACTCTTAGTATCAAGAGGGTTAAGAATTTTGATAATGTATCCTCAACTAAGGCAAATGTGAAGTAAACTTAAGTCTAGTGTAAAAATCATTTTGACCCAATTCCATTCAATATTATAACATGGATCTTAAGATTTCACTCCAAACAGTGATAATGTTAAATATTTTGTTACAGCTGGGGGTGCTGATTGTCATTTGTAGCCATAATACTAGTTAACATTTCCACCAAAATAACTATTTGGGTTATTCTTTAGGTTCATCCATACCTCGTCCTCGCATCTTTGTTACATTTTTGCAGTTGCAAGTTCAACAAAGTGTCGTGATTTAGATCACCTTTGTACTCCGTCCAAATTTCCAGTAGTTCAAGATGTTGCAACAAAAAAACATCAACACGGCCAGTTCCAATTCTTCCTTCAATCAACCTCCAAAACCTGCTCTCATCCACCTGGAATCAAACCTTTCAACTCAACCTCCCTCCATAACTAAAATCACCACACCCTGATTTTGTACCCTCGGATTCTGATATGTATGGACCAGGAGTGTCTCAATCGGCATCACTGAATTGTTACCAAGTGCTGCCAGGGTTCTTTCATAAGAGAGCAACATGCACACCTCTCCTCGAATGTCATCCTCCCCCAGCAATGTTAATTTTGCACTTCAGCATGTGAACAACACATCAGCTTTCTTTAACAAGGAAACCCAGTTTTCCTCTTCTACATTAGCAACTGCAGGTAGTGCTTAATGTAATTTCAGTGGTTAAAATTGGTAAAAACATCTTATTTTATGTTGCTTCCTAACTTACTCTACTTTCAAGTACATATTTTTCAACAGGTGTAAATTTTTATTACAGGGCATTATTTTTTTATGGTCATTTGTGAAGTACTGGTCTTTGTTATAAATGATGAAGAAATTTCAAGCACCACACTTGTAGCATGCATGGAGTTAACCCTTTAAGTCCCACTGGTGACCTAGACAGAACTTCTCCTTACACTATCAGGACTATATGAAGCAGACAAGTAATGAGAATAAAGAAAAATATCAATTAGGGCATTATTGGTTGATCCAATTTCAAATTCTCTAAACTAACATCACATAAATTGCACGACAGACAGTAAGGAGAATTACTAATGGATTCTTGGGAGTGAAAGGGTTAAAACTGTGGTTGAATTTTTGGTAAGAGGTCGGTGGTTGTATCCAGTTTTTTCTCAAAATTGATATTCTTTGTTTTCACAGGGGTGCCTATAAAATAAGAAGACCATTAGTAACATGTATCTCAGGGGTTTAGAAAGAAGCACAAATGCCAACTGACAATGCATGTTTTTGTTTTGTGTTGAAGGTCACCACCACGTAGAGGGGGAAGGTCTCCTGAGCAAGACAGGTACATCAACTTTGATGCATAATAAATACAGTAGTTTCTAGTAGAATATTTCTTTACTCAGATCAAAATGTGTAATGGCCAAAATTTTTGTCAAAACGTCACCATAAAGCAAGTATCTTTTGCTGTAAAATTTTGAAACTGTGTAAGTGGCTGTTGATTAAATATAAACATGCTGAAATTTGTGCGTCATTGATATTTTGTTACATGCAAACATCCAAATTGCTGTTTAAATTAATCTAATGTCATAGTGATCTCAAACCAGTTTGATTCATATTTTTCTCAGTCAAGGGACTGGAAATGTACCCAAAACAAAAGAAAGAACAAATGAAAGTAGTTTTGAGCATTTTGACCTGAAATGCATTTAAATTTAAAAAATCCTTTTTAACACCTTGTGCATTGTTTCCTTCAAAAGGTGGCCATCAAGAGGAAGGAGCAGGTCACGTAGCCCACGCCGTTACTAAATGTGGCATTACGTAAGCAGGTATTAAAAATCCGTTCATATTTATCGTATATTATTATTATCTGTAATCTAAAGTTCATTACTTGAAGTTCAATTTCATGTTAAGTCTCTTCAGAAGTTGCATTTCAAACTGCAGAAAATTTAGATGAACTAATACTTGTACATAAAGTATGTAATTTTTTGACCGGAACTTCATGTCACAACAGTTTTACTTTTATGGAGGCATTTTTCCAGAACTCCTATTGGTCTGTTTGCTTGTTTTGTCTGTTGAACCTCCAAACCCTTTCTGCCCACTGAGATTTGCACAATAATGAAATTAAAAAAAGAAAATTAAAAAAAAAAACGACAACAAGCCCATCCTGAAGCCTTGCCACCTTCCAAAGTTTTTTAATTGGATATAAGGTAACAAATTTGCAGCATTCTATTTTGCTGAATTTTTTCTACAGGAAATAATTTTTGTGGACTGAGGACAATTTTAAAATCTGAAAAAATTATTACCCACAGACTTTTCTTGTCACAGTATTGTTCATTGTTAATAAACTACAGGCATTATTCCCTGCAAATTACTGGTGGTGCTGTCTCTGATTATATTATTCACAATATTTTCCATTATCTGTTACAGATTTTCCCAGACAAGTGGAATTCCTCATTGTTCTGAAAGAGAAAGCTTTGATTCAAATAAGCTTCCATTTTGATTTATACCCTTTTCAGTCTTATGTTAAAATCTTCATATTTCTGTCTTTGAAACATTTTTTAAAGAATAAGTTGTTACAAGTATGCAATTTTTATGTATTGACTCGAAAGAGATTAACTAACGTAGTTTTGTCATCATCTGTTCAATATTTAGTCAGCTGTTTTACCTGGAGTATTTTGAAAGGAGAAGTTTGGAACTGTAGCAGTCTTTACATGCTCTGAATTTGTCCTTCATTTGTAAATTAATAATGCAGTAGATAGTTCAATGACTGTTAACATCATGAAACTCCTCAGGAGAACAGAACTGTTACAGATCAAGTCAAGTTTTGCCTGATTTTTCTGTTGTTACTTGTTAGATTTTAAGTTAAATATGTAAAACATTTTTGATGTCAAAATAAAGTCTCCTTCATTATTCAGTTGAGGTAGATGGTGAACAGTCAATCAGCAAAGTATCTCAAAGTATCAGGTGAAGTGGTGTGCTGTGCACGCTATTTAACCTTTAACTCCCAAGATCTGATTGATAATTCTCCCTGCTGGCTACAAGACATTTCCTCATAAATTAGGCGCAAGAATTTGGTATTAAATCAAGATAACTTCTACCTGATGAGTTTGAGTATTCTCGTGACCTGTTTGCTGATAATATATGGGTGATTTATGAGTCTTAACCTTAATCACTTCTGGGAGTTGAGGGGTTAAACCTTGGTTCTGGCAAACATGGAAAGTACCTAAGGAAATACACCAGATGGTTTGAATGCGGAGGAAACAGTGGATCAGCACGAGAGTGGTCCTGAAAAGGACTGTTTTAGGTTACAGTGACCTTATAGGTAGACATCGCTAGGGTAATGTGACTCTGATAATCACTCGGCTCTACTGATGACTCCAACTTTGGTTATCAAAATGTTGATAGCTGTCGCTGAAAATACTTCTTTTCAGAATATTATTACTCTCACCTGGACAATTAGACTAGTGAGCAAGCAAGCAAGCATTCATCATGCGCAATGACATCTGAAAAATTCAAGCAGGTGAGAGGTCTTTTTATGCACGAAGTCTTGCGAACCTCCAGTGCATTCACACTTGTCTCCGGCTCGAAAGGCATGGGTTTCACTGCCAGTAGTACGATGGGACCTCGATTTAACGAGGTGCCATGGGACTGGGAAATTGGTTGTTAAATCGAAAGTCTCGATTTAAAGAATTTGCAGAAAAACAACCTAAATGTTCGCTATATTGAGGGATGGTTAATAGATTTTAATATTATTGTTTTATATTATTTTTTTTGTGGCGTGAAGTCGCGCTACCCAGCATTTTGGGATCGGAACGACTAATGTAAATAACGTGTGCTTCATTTAATTTCTATATGAAGCTACATTGCACCGCCGGTACATGTCTGTTCATAGCTACAGCACCGTGTTTTTAAAGCAGGGAGGACAAATTTCAGTGGAATTCACTGGCAAACGGAGAAACAAGGGCATTGGACTAGAAATTCCTGCCTCTTACACCCTTTACTACAAGAATCAAAGAGGATAAAGCGGATCTATAGATGTGTCGATAGCGTCAGTGTCGGCATTTAGAATAAGCTGTTAACTGTGAAGTTGTTCTGTTGTTACTGAATTGAAGTAGTTTGATTCTTGTTGGTCTGTTTCGCATTTGTCTGTTGCCACGTGCTAGTATTTGTTCGCTATATCGGGGTATAATATACGTTTGGGCTTCTGGAATGTGTTTCGTTACATCGACGACATCGAGGTTCTTTCTCAAACGTTTTATTGTAACTTTCGCCAGGCTGAAGAGTATCCTTCGTAATACCGAGCACTTCGTTATAGAGAGGTTCGTTAAATCGAGGTTGCACTGTACACCAATGCATCCTTAAGATCTCCTCTAAATGATGAGATAAGAATTTTGACCGAGGATAATTTAATTCCTCATAATGTGGGGTTACTCCCTCATTTGCCATAAATGAAATGATTTCAGCAACACCCTTTCACCCAGGTTTCCTCCAACCCTTTCACTTCCAGATCTAGGTGTCAATTCTCCTCTCTGCTCTCCCATGTTTCTCGTAATGTTGGGTTAGAGAAAATGGTGACGAATCAAGCACTATCCCTCTCCTCGTGTTTTTCCTTCTTCCCGGTGATATCGTAGTGAGAAATTTCTTTTTGGTCACTTCTGGAAGCAAAAATGTTAAATGCCTTCCCTGAGAGCAAAATTCTCTGAAGTTCATAACTTGCAGCTTTCCTTGCCCCTTCTGTAACTTTCTTTGTATTTATCCTCACTCTCTCCTCCACTCATTTTGTAGCAACCTATAACCAAATATATTATCATACACTGCATGAGGAGTTCCAATAAAAGCTGGTTATTAGTGATCTACAGGCACCTGTAAGACCTCTCAATGCCATCTGTTTAGCATGTAAGAAGGCTCTCATGTTTGGGTTTACAGTACATCCACTTATGGAAAAGCCGTAGTTAAACCCCCAGCACTACTACAATTAGCATATGATGCTTGCCCCTCCGTGGGTCATGATCCCGGAGAGTTCCTCTCAAGGGGTACCTACAAGGATTATATCACCACAAGAACAAATATGAAACAGAAGTTAAGTGTCCTGACTAACTCCACATCCAATCTTGTTTGAGCAATTTCTTGTACTCCAAACCATGCCCTTTCAAACTGCACCGGTGTCGCAACTTTCAAGGTTTGTGAGATACTCCACTTGAGTCTACATGAACAGTAAACTGATTTCAGTATGGCAGTCATAAACCTCCTCGAACTGTTCCAGAAAGCACGTGGAGGACAGACACTGGGTTAATGTTATCGTAAACTTGTGGAACAAGAAATGAGTGCTGGTGGAAAATGCATCGCTAAAATGACTGTGTTTTTTAACGAAACAATACCATCGGAAGTTGTCACATGTTTTTGTACACGCGCATTACTAAGGTATGGTGCTATGCTTCAGTGTTCTGACAGCAATTTGCATTTGATGGCTGTAGATATGTGTCGAAAAACGGTGCTTCCTAGCTTGAAAATGGTTGGTAAATCCCATAATCAACAATTCTTGAGAGCAGAAAGAGAAGAGAATCACTTTGTTTCATAAATAATGATTTACTCATTTGCAGCTAAGCAGTAATTTACAATGCTCGATTTCAAAATACCCATTTCAACAATGTCTTATTTTTAATGTACAGTGATAGAGACCTTTCGAAGTATGTAAAAGGAGAAAAGAGAATTTTAAAAGAAGAACAAATAGCTGTCCAGGTTGAGGTAAATATCTATTTTATGCTGCAATAGTCAAACAAGATTACTGAACAGTATGGAGTGTTGGTAGATGTTCGGTCATGATCATTTTCAGCAGGATTCCTACACTTAATATCTTAAAGACAGCTATAGCACTTGTGAGGAAAACTCTGAGTAAATTTGTGGAAATGTAACGAACTTTTTGCGAATACAAATTCCCCAGAACACTTTACAGAGAGTGTTGAAATACAGTACAGACTTGTACCCCAAAAGCATTTCATGTGCAGATGCTATGAATCAGAGTGCCATTGCTATTAAAATAGCTCATAATAATCTATCATCATTTCCAAATTTTTCTGGTTTTTAACTGTCCCATGAAGCTTACTTGAAATAATCCTCACATTTAAATAATAGACATTTCTTTAAATTGTTTAACCCTTTCACTCCCACAAGTGACCAGGACAGAACTTCTCCTTACAATATCAATACAATATCAAGCAGGAAGGTGATGAGAATAGAGAAGAATATCAATCATGGGATTATTAGTTGATCCAATACCAAATTCTCTGAACTAACATCATAAGAATTGTATGACAGATAGTAAGGAGAATTACTAATTAGATCTTAAGCCCTTTACACCTTGACATCAGTATATGTATTCCCATAATGTATTTAAAATATTCCCTATGAGACGAACAAGAAGAATTTGCATTTAAACCAGAGCCTTTTAAAATGGTGGTCATTTCCTTTATTCTCAAAACCCTGATTTTTGATTCAACAATGATGTTTTGAGGAGATTTTGGATGCTAATCACTCATTCTTGAATCATTAACTCTGCATGTACAAGACAATGCATCTTGATGACATCAATGAATCTGATGAGACTCTGTTCCAAGAGCTAGAATTAATGAAGAAGATGGGTTTGCCAACATCTTTCTGTGGCATGAGTTCTGAGAAAGAGGTTTGTACTCTTCATGGCTTGTTAGTAAGCATTCTTATAGGATTTGTGGCATAAGCAGGAACTGAAGCCAAAGCTATTACTCTAGTATTTGACTACAATTACAATTTTTTTTTCATGTTTCTAATACATTCATCTCTTTGTCTTTGCAGTCTATATCATGTAGGGAGACTAAGAGACAAAAGGGCTTAAGTAAAAGTAAAGAAAATGATGCTTTACCAAGGGAAAAACAAATTACAAAGTTCAACAAAACAGACAGCAAGAGAAAGTGTGAAGCAAATAAGCAAACAAGGAATACTGCACTTCCTTCAGCAAATTTTGAAATTGATGAAGGTTGCACAGGTCTGTGTATACCAGAGCAGGAAACAGTAACTCCCCATTGTTGCTCAGATCTCCATGATGAAAGTCCAATTCAAACGAAGAAGAATTTGTTTGAAGACATGGACAATACCAAGTTCAATGGAGGGAAATTTTTGCAGGAGAACTCAAGTGTTACTGTGCCACCATCGGATGAAATGTCGGAACACCAAGTTGATAGAGAATGTACCTGTTCACATGATTTTTCTGCGAAGTTCTTTTCTCAGGACTGCATAGAGAATCAAGATAGTGCTCCTACTGAAAATATACCTGAAAGTCAAGTGGAAGAACAAAATGATTTACAGCTGGTGGAACAATTAGATATCAGCAAAAGCAGTGATTCTGAACAAGAAGATGAGAGAATGCAAACAACAGAGGGAACTTTTATGCTGGAAACCCCTTGTGTTTTGAATTCTGAAGAGAGTGGTACAGCTGAGCAAAGCCAACTGGTGTACCAACAGGAACAGGATTCAAGTGCAAAAGCTACAGATTCTCAGAATATTACAATCCCTGTTCCTATAACAAGTGTCCCAGAAGGTAGGAAAAGTCTTTTAGTAGTTGAACAATCTAATGGCAAATTTGAAACTCATACTCTTGATGACACAGAGGAAAAGAAAACTCTCTCCTATTCTCATAATTATAATCCCACAGAACAGGACATCAGTTATGACAGTGGCTGGGAACAGTATTGGAAAATATATGGTTACTCTTTGGTATGGGAAAGCTGGAAAACAATTTATCCTAAAATTGCTAGTGCTCAAAGTAATAACTGTTTAACAGATGATGAAGAAGCAAGCTCTTCCAGTGAGGTCCAAAGTGATACCCAAGCAAACACCTCACCGAATGGAGAAAAAAAAGAAACAGAAGTAAACTCACTCTGGGAACAAAATTACCAGGATGTATATCATTATTACTATGAACAGTACCACTGTTGGGCAAGTAAGGGTTACAGTTTTGATGTTCATTTAGATCACTTCACAAGTGATCCAGATGAGTCTGTTACTACTTTTGATGAAGACCAAGGCTGTGATTCAGGATTAGGAAAAGAGGAGGGTCACAGTTTCTATAGTCATTTAGAACACTCTGCAGGTGATCCAGACGAGTCTGTTGCTCTCTTTGATGAACACCAGGGCACTGTTTCACATGGATCTGGAAAAAAGCCAAGGAGGAAGAAGAAAGGCAGATGTGGTGGGGCTAGCCACTCAGCAGCAAAGTCAACAGCACATGCAGGCAGCAGGCTGCAACCACAGCAAGTTTCCAGGGGAAAGAGTGAATCATGTGATGGAAATGAACCACCACCTGATGAGAAATGCAAAAAATTGAAAAGGGCCCACGAGTTGGATGTGGAAGAAGAAAATACCTTGAAAATGATTGTAAAAGGTTACTGTTACGAGTTGGATGTGGAATTATTATTATTAAATTATTATTTTTAAAGTCTTGATTGGTAGTGATTGCTAATAGTAATAGTAATAATATTAGTAGAGAAAAATGATGGGATTATAGTTCAAGAGATGTTATCATGATTTTTTCTTTTCTTTTAACAGATGTTTAGGTACAAATTTAATTCTTTTTATTGTACATAGGTCTTTTTATGAGTATTGCATTATTATTATTATTATTAAATTATTATTATTATTAAATTATTATTATTATTATTATTATGTGGAAGACACAGTGGCATAGTAGATCGAGAGGTCTGGGTTCAAGACCTAATTTCTCTTGACAGTATCACCCTTCAATCAAAAGTTACGGTCATGAGAATAAAGGAAATTATCACCAATTTAAGAAGCTTCTGATTGTCAAACAAATTCTCCTTGTTAGAACCATAGGAATTGTAAAGAGAACAGTGTGGAGAATATGAGTGCTAATGTTAGGGTGCACAGGGATAGAAATAAAGTAGCAAGAACAAGAAGGCAAAAACTTAATTAATTAATTTTTTTGGTTCTGTTTTGTTTTGAAGGTATCTCGCAAATTACCTCTTAACACTTCCTGCTCTTCAACCTTATCAAGTGTCCCTAGTGGAAGTGCCAAACTGATATTACCCGTAGAAGACCTTCAGACCAAGAACAATTTTCTAAACTTGCACCAGGTGTCGAAAGTTCCCAAACCGAAAGGAATACATCTTAGATTTGAAGATGAAGATGATGAAGATGATGAAATACATTGTTTCACTCGAGAGGGTGAGAAGCCTTCACTACTTCATGCTCAGGAGAAATCACAAGAAGAATCAGAAGATCAGAGGGGTTTTAAACATGACCAAGACACAGACACGGGCTGCTGTGTGGATTTAAGAGGTCAAATTGATTCAAGTCCAGATTCTAGTGGTAAAGATCACACAAATGCAGATTTAAGCGGGAATAGTGATTCAAATGTTAATCTAAGCGATAAAACCGATTTAAAACCAGAGTTATGTGATTCACATATCGATTCTAGCGGAAAATCTGATTCAAACTCGGATGTTGGAAACAATATGATGGATCGTCAAGTTGACGCTGTAGACAACCATAATAATGCTTGTATTCGTTCAAATGATCACCGCAAAGTTTTCTTGAACCAGGACACTACTGATGGTGTTAAGGTGATATCAGATCCTCGGCAAGATCCAGAAATTGCCAAGTACTGGGCGCAGAGGTACCGCTTGTTTTCGCGATTTGACAAAGGTATCAAAATGGACAAAGAGGGTTGGTTTTCTGTGACTCCCGAGCGCATAGCTAAGCATATCGCAGAACGGTGTCGTTGTGACCTTATCGTGGATGCATTCTGCGGAGTGGGCGGAAATGCAATTCAATTTGCCTTCACCTGCGAACGCGTCATAGCAATTGACATCGACCCTGTAAAGGTCGCCCTCGCTCATCACAACTCCACAGTGTATGGAGTGGCAGATCGGATTGAGTTTATTTGCGGTGATTACACGAGGCTGATACCGCGCTTGAACGCTGACGTGGTGTTTCTGAGCCCGCCATGGGGCGGACCTAACTATACCAGCGCAGAAGTGTTTGACATTCGAACTATGATAACATTGGATGGCTTTAGACTTTTTGAAGCAACCAAATCGATCACGGAGAACATTGCTTATTTCATGCCTCGTAACGCCGACATCGAACAACTGTTATCCCTTGCTGCTCCAAGTGGTAAGGTGGAAATTGAGCAGAATTTTCTAAACAAGAAATTAAAGACAATTACTGCATATTATGGAGAACTGGTGGAAGAAGTATTTTAAAAATTTAGGGAAACGAAAACTTGCAGAGAACTTGCAAATCAGTTTCTGCCTAGTGAAACGAATAAGTCCCTTGTCCGTGTTCAGTGTATAAAACGCCAATAGTTTGGGCGAAATTAGCTGTCGATTTATTGTTTTAATTTATAGAATAATTTTCAAATGTATGTCGAAAGTAATCCCAGCCTTTTTAGGTTATGCTTCACTTCGCTCTGTGATTTCTCCAGAAAACTTGCGTTATTCTCTCAACCAATCAGATGCAAAACCAAAACCAATCGCACCTTTGTCACTCGGGTTTCGCGCGCTTTACTCAGGTTATTCGTTTTTACTCTGCCTTCTCACTGGCTCCTTGCGATATTTTTCCTTCATTTTTTATTTGTTTTACGATACTCAATCGAAAAGCGCTCTATCGATCGGTTGTGTTCACAGTAGTACTTTTCCTACTGTGCACCAAGACTCACTAACGATATTTAGATGGTCCACTGACTCGAAAACTTCCAGATGTAATAATAATTAATAAATAATTCTCCTTTATGGCTTGCGTTCGTTTCTTTATAAATGAGTTCAGAGAATTTGGTGTTGTAGTCAATGTAACGCTGTTTAAGTTGATAAGTTTTTGGGGAGAGGTAACGTGTTTATCACCTTATGAAGGTAATAATAATTTTTACTGGTCGGGGACTTCCGAAATCAAACCAAATCTTAAGTAATTTTGCAATCGTTCAGTCTACGCACGTCAAGAATGTGTTTATAAAACTTTGTTAGTGAATAGTTGTAACACGTGATTGAGTTACGCTTTTATCTGGACATCTCGGAAAAAATACTTGTGTTAGAAGACTATTCGATAAAAAAAAAAAAACATGTCCCAGGACCTACTTCCCTTAGGTCGGAGAAAATGTACCAACCCCAGTTTGGTATTTTACCGATACCCAAAATTCCCCTCAGCTTCTCTCAGCCCAATCTGTTAAATTGAACATCAAACTGCTTATGAACATTTCGGGCTTCTCATAGGGTCCAAATTGCAATGAAAAAAATATTGAAATAGGGCTTGACGAAAGAAAGTCGAAATAGTAGCAGGAATGGAGGGTAATCTTCCTTTCCTTTCGCTCTATTTTCCGTATCTGAAACACCTGGTTCTCTAGCCTTCCTACTCATCTTAAATAAGAGTGCGGGGAATTTCACAAAGTGCGCCACGCATGGCCCCACCCGCCGCCATTTTGAAAACCTTGAAACGCTTGGGTACGAGGTTTGTGACGGACGCGCGCGTCGCAAAAAGGCGCGAAATATAACGTAGGTCAACAAGTACAGCAGGCATAAGGTCACGCTCATTTCTTTTCACAATTTTTCTGTCCAGAAAATATGAATATCTAGACGCATTTTAACCTAAGTAGCAATTCTTTATAGCTGTCTTAAGTAGAGGAATCCTCTGAAGAACATTTTAAGAACAACTGACTTGTTAGTGAAATAATTTTTCACCAATGAGTAATCGACCCAACAGTAACCTAAGCGGTAAGTTAAAGCCTTTTAAATTGTTTCAACTTTTTCGTTTAACTCAGTCAGCGTCGCTAGAATGTAACCTTTTTGATAAGCTACTTAAACAGTGGATAATTTATGAAGACAGCTCAATGGTTAAAACTTTGTCATCTACAGGGCGAATAGTACCAATGTTCGCTTTAAATAACAGGAAGAAAAGATCAAGACAGGCCTTGTACGCGAACCCAACAACAGACAGCTTTGAAGACTCTTCAGCCTTCACGTTAAACAATGCTGGAGAGGGATGTTTTGATGCTAGTGAAGTAGCGATACCACAGAAACGTTTTCAGCGACTTCAACCGCCAAATTCCTCAAACAATGAGAAAAATGTCAACGGCACTTCCTCTTTCTTGCGACAAAACCAGGAGTCAATTTGTGGAAGTGGTAGGAGTGGAAGCTCTTTGCCATGCAGTGGGCGTTATTATGGCACTAATCAAATTGGAGCACAACTTCGCCAGCCGATAAAACAGCAAACCCATTCCTTTCTCATCAATAGTATGGATTCACCACCAACCAATTATCCGTCCAGTAACAAGTTTGTTTTCTAGTTTTCACTTTTTTGTTTTCGTAAAAAAAAGCTTTAATTAAAAAAATTTCCAATTGACAAGTTTCATTCTTCGTAGGCAGCCAGAATTTCAAATTAAAATTTGAATTTTATCATCATTTTCTGTATTTACAGGACTCTGCAACACCAGCCAGTCACAGGTTTTCAAGGCTCTGGTATAAAAGTTGAGAAACAAGATATGACCAGACAAAGAAAACCAGACCAAAAGGATCAGAATTTTCAGTCCAAGGTAGAGCAATATTGAGTCTACCTCAGGTTTAGTTTAGATGGTGGCTTTGCAGTATTTCCACAAGTGGAAAAAAGATGTCCACATTAAAAAATACATCCAAATGTCAAATTGAGCACAAAGAGTTGTGCTCAAGGATAACTACTATTTTAAAGTACTAGATTTTGGAGTGAAGTATCTGCAAAAATAAGTGATTGATATGAGAGCTACCATTTATAACTCACCTCAAACATTACAGCCTCTTAATGTCTCATTTGCCTTCCTCTTCTTTGCTTTCTCAGTGATTAGACTATACATCTCTCTGGGTAACCCTTTTCTTGAGTGCCTTTTCTTGAAAAAGGGTTCCCTTCAATTAAAGAAAGGAGCCAAGTGGGCCCTCTTTAATTATTTTCAAATAAATATGAGTCAATTTAGTGAAAATAAGTACTTGTTAATTTTTCAAAGACTACAAATCTCACTCTAAAGGCTCATGCAATTTTGTTGTCTTTGAAAAATTTACTCTTACTTATTGACACCACATTGCACTTGAAATCATGTTTTCACCTATACAAAGCTCAGGGGCTTTGTGACCATGTGTTTTAGGGTCTCCAGAGAACAGTAAGCTTAACAAACTAGCTGAAAACTATAATCCAGATCCTGAAGGGCCCTCCACTGAGCTGTTTAGAAATTTGTTTTTCCTAAAACAATGCTCATAAATTCACAAATTACAGGAATGGTCCGGTAAACAAATGAATCTCATGGCCACTCCAACAGACAAGTCTCTCAAGTTTTTAACAGCCACAGTTCAAAGTGTTCTTAAGTGGAAACAGTATGAAGACATGGTCACTTCAATTTATGAAGTATTTGGTGAGAAATTTACCTCCTTTACTAGTTTAGACTTTTCACTGTCCTTCTTCTATAGTGTCATTATGCATGAGTATCTAAATCTGCTCTTAACGGAAAGGTAGACTAATCCTTTAAATTCTACTAACTAAAAATAAACAAATATATCCTTAGGAACACTGGACTCACAAGTTTCCTTGAATGCAGCTGGTAATGGAAAAAATTTTGTCATCAAAGACAAAACTGGAGTTCTGAGGTAATTAACAATGTCAAGTACAACTTGAAAATAACATGTCAAGGCTCTTTTGATTTGCTTGAAACCCATTATTGACTATATCAGTTTTCTCCCAATGCTTAGGTGCACTTTTTGGGAAATGGTAAGCATGTCTCAATTATATACCCAATTCTTCAAAGTAATGCCTGATATAATATTTTTAAATTAAAGGGAATTTTCAATGAGAACAGTGGTGTTAATTTCTTTTTTAAGGATCACCAACTTCCAAGATTGACAAGAGGGAAGATGCACAGGTGATTAAGTCAGTCTGTTTAATAGTGTTCAATTAATCAAAATCAAAGCATAATTTTAAAAAATCCATCTGCTCTTCTGAATTCTAAAGGTTAAGATAACCTTAAGTAACAATAACAATGACAAAGGTGTAAAAAAGTTTTATGTTTTAGGATTTCCCCTAATTAAACTTCATGAATTATTGGAGACCTTGAGAAATATATGTTGTTCATACTGTACATATTGACAAATACATATTTTTGAAAGGTGTGTGGGATTCTTGGACAAAAATGGTGGAACTTTTAATTGTGTGTCCATCAGACCAAGTAAGCAGACAGAACTGCTGGTTATGGTAGACTTCTTAAAAGCGTCAGAGTTGGCTATGCAACAACAGCTAGCAACCTTCAAGGAAGACTAACATTTGGAAAAATTAAGTATTCAGGTCAAATAAGTTTATTAACTGAATTTCTTAAAAAATAATGAATACTCTTTACAACAGGCTGACAAGTTGCCACTAATCAAAACATGAACTACAGCAATGTCATGTTCAATACATATGAGATGTTGTCTGACCAATGATGTGCATTTTTACTCCTATTGCTACTTACAATATTAATACCCTCATTATGACCATGAAATAAAAGAGGAAAATATTTTGTACTGCACAGTGTCAAATAACTGTGAAAATGTCTATACAGCTTTGCAGTAAACAAGAAGTATCTTCAAATTTGTGTCTGTACCAGTTATCCATCCCACAACTGTTGATTACACTTTCACAAAGACACATCTAGTAGAGTTTACCAGCCATATCCAACTCTGATCAGGCTCTTTACTGGTTGGTTCTGTCCCTAGTTTTGTAAGTAACACCTCTAGCCTTGAGTTCCCGTACTACATGACCTGGTAGTTTACCACTCACCGATATTGCATAGCACCCTCTTACTAATGTATCTAGAAAAAAGTAACAAATGTCATTGCATGGTCATCATTATTATTGCCACCATATAGTCAAATAGTAAATAAATTTGAGTAACATTCTGAAATAATACATAGTAGATGATAGAGTTATTTTAGGGAATAAACAATCACTCATTTTATGGTTGCACATCTAGTGCAGATGAATCACATTAATGTGTTTCTTATCTATTATTATGACATTTACTATATTTGAATATACATATCTAGTGAATTGGCTCACCAATTCGTTGCCATCTTGCCACCCAGCTGTCTTCTGGTGTCATAAGGGATATAATTCTGTCAGAAGATTAACAAAAACAATCATGCATAATAATAGTATTTTGTTATTTGAGTTGTCCTTATCAAACGCCACTAAAAGGATACTTTTTTCTGGACAAATGAAACTGAACATGTCACATAGGGAAAGTACTACAATCTAAAAAGATGTATATAACTTCTTTGAAATATATCCAAGACATAAGTTGTCAATTATGAGCCAGGTGGTTGATACATGTTCTTCACTAGTAAGAAGGGAAAGAGAAAAGAAGTATTCTCAGTAATAAATGGGCAACTCAATCTAACTTTCCATTAGACTTGCATGAATAAAAAAATTTTGAACCAAACTAAGCCCCACCATGAAATTTAAATGTCTGTAAGGTTTTGGTGAAGCAATTTCTCCTAGTCTTCAACATGTGAGCAATGAAACGTTTATTGAGAGCGACCAATAGTTAAAAAACAAAGGTTTGTATACTTGAATGGAGGAGTTATTAGTTATTACCCATCAAAGTTTGCACTTGTACAAGTAAGGATATTTTCTTTGTTGTTCTTTAGTCTGAGATATTTTTCACAATTGTCACAGCCATCGTATTCAAACTGCTCTAAGGTCTGAAAGAAACAGATTGAAAGTAAATGCAAAGTTAGACCAGGTGCTAGGTTTAACTTGTTTGACATTTTCAACATATAGACATTACATTGATCAATCTGAAGATACTTAAAAGTTACTACATACTGAGCGATAACACTGATATTAAAAGGCTAAAATAAGGAACGATAGAAGGCTTTTGGGCCGCTCTCGACCAGTACTAATGAATAGTGGTTTTTGGCATAAAGGTTAAGATGGTTTCGATTGGGAAGTTTTAACCTCCACCTCATGACTCGTGCTTTAAAAGTTTTTCGATACCCGTAATGCTCAGTTTTTCGACAATTCTGTAAAAAATGACCATAGTTCATATATATAATTTCTTACCTTTACTAAAGAACACAGGAGACATGCTCGAAGATTTCTCAACTCCTTTGGAACGCTCTCCATCTTGTATTTGAAATTTTCGTTCCCAGATCTCGTCAGGCGTTCCAGTCTCTCCGCGTTATTCTATTCTATTCATAGAAGCGTTACTCTATAGCTTCTAGTCATACATACACATTCATTTAAATAACTTAAGCTAGACTTGAATATGGCTCGTCGTGAGGAGATTTATGACGTCTGTGTGGTGGGGGCCGGTATAGAGGGAAGTTCAACAGCTCGATACCTTGCTTCGCGGAAGAAAAAGACTCTCCTCTTAGAACAGGTACATGCAAATGTTTTTCTAAAATTTCTCTATCGTACCGTAGACGATCGGACAAATTTGATTTTAATTCAATTCGAATTAACATATTAGAAACAACATCACTAATGATTTGTTTACAAGTAGTAAGATTCTTATAATATCTGATGATTTTTACAATTGGCAAGAGATCTCAGATTCTTACAATAATGGCAAGAGATCTCAGATTTCTATAGTTGGCAAGAGATCTAATTAATTGCAATTTAATTTACTTTGAAGTTTTCAGCTCTACGGTTAAGTAATCACTATTTCTGATTCTAAAAAGTATATAGGCGATAAAAAGTCACAAGACAGTTATGTCATAAATGTTTAACCGCCAAATAAATCATCCTGATGGGAGTTTCCATCTTGCTTTTCCGGGTAATATTTCCTATTAATCCCATACTTTCCTAAGACAAAGCTGTAGTCCCAAATAAAATATCTTGTTTTGCCATTGTTTCTCTCTACCAAATGCTCTACATGAAAGTAATCACTATTTCTGATTCTAAAACATATATATGCAATTACAAGTCACAAGATAGTTATCTCATAAATGTTTAAATGCCAAATAAATCACCCCGGTTTGAGTTTTCCATCTTGCTTTCCCAGGGAATATTTCCTTGTAATCCCATACTTTTGTAAAACAAAGCTGTAGTCCCAAATAAAATGTCTTGTTTTGCCATTGTTTTCTCTCTGCTAAATACTGTATGCATGATGAAGTATGGGGTCATGTGGAAATCTTGTTCATTTCCTTTTCTGTTCTTGATTTGTCTTTTATCATATATGCAACAATCTTAAAGTCAGGAGACCTTTTCACTTATATTAGTTTGATAAGTTCTTATATCCTTGTCATATAGTAGCATTATGCATCTGCAATGAAAGGTTAAGAGCCTTTTCTCTTATTTCAACATCTTTTTTTTTTAACAACAAATACATCACAAAAAGTAGACAAGGTACCAGATTTTCTCTGCATGTAAACAATATTATAACTTTCATATATTTTTGGAAGCTTCCTTAAGCCTGGGTGGTAGAAGAAGGCCTCTTTTGTCGTCTTAACTGAGATCTTTTAAGTCTGTGTAGGACTTGAAATGGGGAAACAGCATCACCAATATCTACCATTAAGTATACATAAATATAAAGTTAACAAAGAACTGTTCACTTTTATCAGTTTCCTCTTCCCCATACACGTGGTAGCTCACATGGTCATAGCAGGATTGTTCGCTATGGTTATCCAGAGGATTTTCATGTAGCATTGATGCCAGAGGCCTTTGAAATATGGAGTGAGGTTGAAAAGAAATATGGAAAACCCCTTATCAAGTTTGTATCTTGTTATTTTCTAAGTTGTCTCTAAATATACATGATTTCAAATGCTTTTAAATGAAAAGAAAAGTCAGCTAGAGTATGGATTTCATGGCCTCAGTTTTAGTGAACAAAAACTTGTGCTAGTGGCTGGTCTAATAGCATGTTGTGGTAATATATAGATTTAGCCAAGCTTAAAAGTGGAGCTTGCATTTTTTTTTCCCCGCACATCTCAAAGGCACAACACCTTGCCCCAGCCAGGACTAGAACCCAGGTTGTCCAACTCGGAGCCCAGTGCACTGACCACCGGACTACTGAACAAAGCCATGGCATTGGTGTACCCGTGGTACAGTTGACCATGCATGTTAAAAGTAGCACCTTGTATGGTCATATGGTCTTACGGCCGTACATCCAAATTTTTTCGGCCTGATGAGTTACTACTATTTTGTATAATTATGGGGCTATGCTCTACGAGCCCGCTAATATTGTGTTAGAATATTCTTTATCTATCATTTTTTGGTAGATCGCTTTCTTTTGTCTCTCACTTGGGATTTTAATGTCAAATAAATGCATATGTAGTCAATATTAGATGCAAAAACCTATCCAATAGACCATTTTATGTTAAATTGATTTACCAGAAAGTAAGGAATCCTAAATCATCTTGAATCAAGCCATTTTAATATTTTTCCTTTGCAAATGAAGTGTCTGTAATATACCCGAGTTATCTCAAAAACCAGGTTATTTGTCCCTCAAATTACCTACCTCATGCTTTGGCTTTGGTTGATGCAGCTGTTTCATCAGTACAGAAGGTTTGTCTGAAAAAAAGAGTAATAGTGTGCACACAAACCTCAAAATGTATTGTGGGTAGTTTTCAGGTCAGAATTACCTCAGTCACAGTTCCTTGACCTCAAGATTTCAGAGAAATCTGAGAAAATGCCACTGCAAAGACTGGGCATAGTGTGTTTGATTAATTAATTTACTTAATATTTTAGGCATGAAAACTCATTGATTACCAGGTACTCAGTTTACATTTCGAGATTGTTGTCTCAACTTTTGTCCTTTTTTCTGACAACCTTAATCAAAACAGCTGCCTACAGACCTACTATTACAGTCAGGTCAAGCTTGTTACTAGTTCTCATCTCAGCAATGAATTGTTTTCCTCCTTTGACACTCCAACATCTAATTTGCTATGGAATCATGTGATGGAAAACTATCCACTGAATGAGATACTGCTGACTTGGTTGGTTGGTTGAATTGTTTATTTATTTATCTACTCAAATGATTATTGGCCTCATGGTTAGTACACTCAACTGATTGAGTGGTCCGGGTTCAAGCCCTGGCCAGGGTCATTGTGTTGTGTTCTTAGGCAAGACACTTTACTCTCACAGTGCTTCTCTTCACCCAGGTGTACAAATGGGTACCAGCAAATATGTTGGGGGTAACTCTGCGATGGACTAGCATCCCATCCAGGAGGGAATAGCAATACTCTTAGCTATTTCGTGCTAAAGGAAACTGGAGTTAAGTGCCGGCCCCATGGGCCCCTTTGGCCTGTGTAAAGGCTTTTTTTTTAAATGGTTGCTAATTTTGTTATTTTCTTTTTTCAGAAAGTGTGGTTTGTTAACAATAGATGAACCTCCCTATGCAGATGTAGCACAAGTAATTACCAACGTACGAGGTGTAGGGAAAGAATGTATTCCTCTTTCAGCTGAAGAAAGCAACAAGAGATTTCCTGGTTTAAATTTCTCACCAGATGATTCTTGTGCTCTGGAGCAGGACAGTGGATTAATTGATGCCAATAGTGCACTTAAAGCGATGCAGGTTGGTATTGGATTACCTCTTTATACTTAAAATATTAAATGAAAATCTTTTCTGATCCAGATATTTTGGAGACTGTTAACATCATGGTTATAGAATCTTACTCCATGTAAAAATAAAGAACCAGACTTATGAATGTAGGTGTCAGTAGGGCTTCAAGACGTGGCTGTTCCCTCTGGGTTTTCTTACTGTGCATGCTAGTTTCAAGGGAGTTAGTGCATTCAAGTAGTTAGGACACTGGACTTGTAATCTGGTGGTCCTGGGTTCAAGCTATCTACCCTGCTACTCGCTGAATTTGTTCTCATTTGCTCAAGTTTAACTCCTTTGCTATGCTTCCTGTCAGTTGATATTTTTTAACAAGACCATGTTTATTCATTCATTCATTTATTCATTTGTATTGGCCCTGAAAAATTCCATTTGTGGAGAGGTTAATTACATGCACCTGTCATGCTGTGTTAAAATGCTTAAGAAAAATTTATTCCTGTAGATAGTACCTCAATCCCTTAAAACACAGAGAACCAGACTTGCCAGTTAAAACCCTGCACATGAGACTACCAGAGCTTTTTCTGATTTAGAGCAAATGAGTGTGGTGAAATTAAAACTAATTGATCACAACAGCAAATCAGGAAACAGATGTCAGAATGAGTCCATTAGAAGGTAGCGTAAAAGAATTAACTGCCTGAGGAGTGGAAAAATGTAAATGACTAAATGCTGATGGGTTCTAGTTTTGAATCTGACTGGTTGAAAGGGTGGTGCTGTTTCGAGACCAACCACACCATGAAGTGGAGCGAGCCAAAGCAATCCTGCACTATTTCCAACACTCATTTAAAAATTACTTTATGTTGCATGATGTAACCAGGAGTGCTACAACTCCTCTTAAATAATGAGCTTGTCCATCCAAGTTCCCCCCCCCACTCTGTGCCAATAGCTCAAATCTCCCTCACAGTTTGCCGATATCCATTTTTATTTCATTTCTCATTTAGTACATGTGCTATGATTGGTAAGCTTAGTGGGCTGTATTGAACTGTACAGCCTGCTATATTCAAATTTAAAGGTTTGTTTGAATTGAAATCTTTTCCCCTATTTGAACCTAGATGAATAATAAATATCTCACTAACCCTGATTTTCTTAGTCCTTACTTTAAGTTATAGAACTTTGAATTTTCTGCTTGGGTTTATGGCCCATGCCTAGCACCTGGGCCATAAATCCCTGTTGAAAAAAATATGGTATGTAAACTGCAGTACGAAACAAGAAAATGAGGTCAGTAACAGGGGTATACTCCTTGCTATGGGCATTGAGTGTGTTGCCCACAAACATAGGATATTTATTTGACCACAATTCAAACCAGACTCCTCCATTTGCAGTCCAGTTGAGGTAAACATACTTCACTACATCTCCCACATATTAGATATAAAGGAGATTAATTGTTCAGATAAATGGCTTTGGTTCATGTTTCTATCAATTGTTTTTAACATGGCTTGCTCATTTTATTATTTTGCAAGGAACAATTTGTGGAATTTGGTGGAATTTTGCATGACAGGGAGAAAGTATTAGATATTGAGCCAGGCACTGTGGTCAGCATTAAAACGGTCAGCAACATATACAAGGCAAGAAGTGTTGTCATCACTGTTGGTAAGATACATTCTGGAAGATTTTTATCATGAAAAATATTTCTAAACCTTCTTTTTAAACTTTCTGCAGTGTTGTAAATATTAGCTATCTCACTTTAAAGCTGTGATTATTTTGGTTTGATTCACAATGTGTATCTGCAGGTCCATGGGTGAACAAGGTGCTAAATCCTCTTGGTGTTACAATACCTCTTAGTGTAAGTTTGTGACAACAGTTTTGCTTTATGAGAGATTATTCACTTGGTTTGCTATTAAGGTCTATTTAAAAGCATTCAAATCAAAGTAGGAACTGGTCAGGACCCGAGAGCAAGCATTGAAATAAAATGGCTTCTCTGGTTATGATTCCCCCAAAAACACATAAGGAAGGTCCTATTGTGCAGGGACGAAGCCAGGAATTTTTGGTAGGATGGGTCCCCACTTTGATTCAGGAAAGACAGAATTTGTTTTTCTGCAAGAAATATTACCAGATATATAAATATTAGAGACTTGATGTTGAGTCGTTACATGCAATCCTGTTGTTCCAAGAATATTTGTGTCAGACAAGTAGTAAAAACTCACAGTTTTGTTAGGGTGGAGGGGGGGGTCTAGACCCCATGAACTCTCCCCCTGGATCCACCATTGTTGTGCAACTCCTAACTGCGTAAACAATTTCAATAAGAGATGCAAAAAAACATGAGAAAGGCTCTCTTTAGGCCAAAGATAAGAAGTCAGGCTGCTAACCAAGAATTAAGATGACAACATTAACAACTCTTTCTGGGTTCTTATTGCTAAAGACTAACATGTCTTTACTGCCTCAAGAGAAAAAACTATAAAACTAATGTGCTTAATATACTAAACTAAATTTGTTTCATGAACATTTTCTTCTCCTAAAATTGCATTTTAGGAGTAGAAAAATGCACTTGTCATCTCTATAATGACCACTTTCTTGTGTCCTCAATGAAGCCATGGTAGAAAAGTTTAACTGTAGTTGTTGATTGTTCTTTTTGTACAATGTTTTAGATACAGAGAATGAGTGTTTGTTACTGGCCAGTAACTGAACCCCATCTCTACTCTGCTGACAAGTTTCCTGCCTACATATTTTGTGCTCCACTGGGATGTAGAAAAACTCATGTTTATGGGTTTCCAATAAATGAGTATCCTGGGCTTATTAAGGTAAATTTTCACCAGTTATAAAAGGGTTTTTGTGTGTTCCTATTATTCCAGGAGCTGTGATGTTTTGTTTTTACCAGTTTGGTTTCATCTGTGATCAAACACTATGAAATTTAAAGTTGAAACAAATAATTACTAAAGAGTGGTATCAGCAATGTCACACAATGCCAGAAGGATTATGAATTCACTTAGTTACTTCTGTTTTTTATGGACTGGCATGCCATCCAGGAAGAGTAGCCATACAAAGTAGCCCTCATTAGTCTCTTCATGCTGTGGTAACTGCAGCTAAATGAGTCACTTGGCTTGAGAGCAAACCTCTGTAAATCTGCTGACCTTTTGATGTGGAGGCAATCATATCTGCCCACTGGATTGTACAAACCTTTTAAAGTTTATTTAAAATAAATCTGTTCTTGATATCTGTAGATTTGTCCTCATAAAGGTACAGATATACCCAGTGCTGACCACAGAGATTCTTGCACACCGCAAGAGGACCCCAATGTTCAATTTACAGCTGAAGTTATTAAGGCTTGTTTTCCTGGTGTGAAGCCAGAACCAAGTATTGTGGAGTCATGTATTTATTCAGTGAGTTTATCACCTGAAAGTAATCTTTGTTGTAATTCCAGATCCAGGGATGTAGTTAGGGGATGATCCAGGGATGTAGTTAGGGGGTACAGGGGTGCCTGTTTTTGCCCCTCCCTGGCTGAGGTTATCTATTTTACTCAGTAGCATACAAATCTTAAACTTCAGGTTTCTGAAAATTACTAGAATCCCAAGATTTTATGTGGCATTAATCCTTTCCAGTGGCAGATACTCCCTTTGTCAATCCTTCACCCTGGATGAATATGAGCCTGTGGATACACAAGGAAGTGCAACGGTATAGGCCACTTTATTTAAAACCTTGCCCCCCCCCTCCCCATCCCCTCACCTTAACAAATAAGCTATGTCTTAAAATCTCCAACCTGCATTTTTTCTTTTTGCTGTTTGAAGGTTACTCCTGATCATCTGTTTGTGATGGACAAGCACCCAGAATTTAGGAATATTGTAATTGGTGCAGGCTTTTCAGGTAACAGAGAAGGAACAAATGGTTATTTCATTTACATGTGTTTTAGAGCAGTAGTGTGGTTGTTCATAAGAGACAATTGCATAGATGTGATCACAGTCAATCAGTGGCAAACTCAAAATAAACTCAACAATGAAGGCATAGGCTTAGACAGGATTTTCATCTGTCTTTTCGTCTTCAAGAGTGACCAAAAGAGAATTTCTCCACAAAATATTAAAATACTTTCAAGTAGAAGGTTGGTAAAAGGAAAGGAAAAAAATCATCAGGGGAATATTTGATTTATCACCAAGTATTCAGAGCTACAATCATGAGAAATGTATGTTGAACTATGTAGAAAATGTATACGTTGATTTAAGAAGTGAAAAGGTGAGGAGTTTCTTCTCTACAACCAATAATCTTATTATAAAGCTGGCAGCGCTCATCGGCGATATGAAGCTAATCCTGCGTTCTGATTGGGGTTGCCCGCTTTGATCCCGCGCATGAATTAAAGTGCGTGGAGCGGACTTACAAAGTACGTAACTTTTGGACCATTTCGGCGATGAAGTCGCAAAAAGCAGCAGGACACAGTCAAAACAAAGAAAACGAGGGGTTATTGTGCTACAAGCACAAGTGGCTCTCTTTCCCGGCTCTCGAAATAGACAAGTCATTCTTGATTCTCATTAAAGCGAAATATTTTTGCTGTATGATAAATGCTTTATTGACCAAGCTTGTTCCTTCAAGATGGCTGGATATTAGCCTCGTTTATGTGTTTTTTCGTTTTTATGGACCTCGACTTCGTCAAATGCACCCTTCGACCCCACCCTTTATGTGAATGTCCACGTGTCACCGCTTTACATGTAGCAAAAATCCCGCGATAAGGAAATAATGACAGCGCAAAGAAATTTGAAAAACTCTTGCTACTTAACCCCATCACAATTGGTCATGAAAGAAATGTAGGAGATTTATTTGTTACTGTTTTATGAACAGGCTTTGTTTCCTCATTGTTCAATTGACAGGGCATGGTTTCAAAATGGCGCCTGTTGTTGGAAAGATCCTGTCGCAAATGGCGCTTGGTGAGAAAGTATCCTACGATGTGCTGCCTTTTAGGCTGTCCAGGTTCACAAGCTTTGGAAGAAGTAAATCTTCACTATAGAACGCTTCTCACAGCATTTTTCTTATTGGAGTGTGTGAACTGGACTGATTTCAGGCATTCCTCCAAAAAGCCGTTTTATTTTTTTTAGTAACATACTTCACTTACTCTCAGTCCCATATGTAGATTGGGACCGTTACCATTTCAAATTATGCAGTCACATTTTATTCCACTCTCCCCCTTTGGGAAGTCACGCAATCCCCTTGTTTCGAGGAGGGCGTTGCGTGAAATTTCAGTAACGTCAATGTAATGAGGGGCTATCCTAAAGATATTCGTCATTGTTTTTTTTTTTATTATTTTGTTTTGCTTTTTTCTTTTCTTTTATATTTTTTCTTCGTTATTCTTATTACTATTATTATTAATCGTTTTTTAATAACTAGACCGTATGCAAGGTTCATATTTTAGGTTAAATTACTCCTGGGGAATAAGATTTTTTGCGTGTTCTGGACTCGCGCAAAATGTTTAAAACCTGGATCTTTTTTTAATGGACAACCGAGCGCAAATATTCACCATACTTCTTACTGTGTCCCCACAAACTGTCTTCCCACCCTGAATTTTATCAATTTAAATTTTTAGGAAGAACTACAAGATTTTGGTACCGATATTCTATTAATACGGTAGCTAAAAATGCAAAAAAAAACTGCGATTTATGGTTAATATATAGCAATAATAAAAACCGATTGGTTTTTTTGTTCATATGAACAAATATTCATTGTCTGAGAGATGAGATACGATTAAGAAAAAAATTAATGCAAATCGCACTGTTTGGAGCCAATCAGGTTGCAGTGATCGCTGATTTGAAGATGGATGTAATAAAGTGGTATATTTATATTACGAAAAGTACTCATCGATAGAGAAGGTGGATATAACTCTGGTATATTTCAAAATAAACGAGTGTTTCCCATTATTGCTGCTGACATGTCTCTCTCAATGTAACCTAAAACGGTGAATTTCGTCATCGTTAAGATTATAGCCGAGCATTCTATCGGCAGTGGGTTAGAGCAAAACAAAGTGTGGAACGCTTTTGCAAGAAAAGCTTTTATTTTCATTCGATACGATTATTTACACCTTAGGGAGTTACGTTATGATTTCAGAATCTCAAAGGTTTAAGATGGTGAAATTAATTTAATTCCGTTCAAATTGGTTTACTTAAAACCCTTTCGTTTCTTTTTTAATATTTCAAGTTTTAACACATTCTCATTTTAACTCTTTCACTTCCAAGATCTGATTGTTAATTCTCCTCTTTAGCTGCTACACATTTCTTGTAAATTAGTGACGTGAATTTGGGGTTAGGTCTAGATATCAACCACCCGATTAGTGTGAATATTCTCATTACTTGATAATGTATGGATATTATGGGCAGAAGTTACATGTTAATCACTTAAAAAAGTTGAAGGAGTAAGACCTATGCTCAGAATGTCGATCGTCGGACCAATCGATCATTAGTTGAGAACTCTGCACTTGTTCATAGCTTTGACTTCGTCGAAGACCTTTAGGAAATTAAAAAAGAATAAAGTACAAGACAGAATTACCTCTTGCAGATTCCCTGAAGATTCAGTGAATTAAAACGAGTTGTGGAAACAAACACCAAAGAGTTTTATAATAGCGAGATGTGGCGCGCCGTAGTTTATAGGGACGATTTTAAACTAAAGCGCTTTTAGATCGACTGTGATTAAAACTAAACTTCAAGTGAACTCAGCGGCCTATCATAACAAAGACACTTAAATTAATCAAGGAACCAATGGGAATTTAAAGAGAACGTGTTATCGCTCTCAAGCGCGGGAAACCGCGAGCTACTAGGTCGAAATTGGTTGTAGTTTTCCTTATGATTGGTCCAGAGGTGGCACGTTTTTCTTGACCAATCACGGGGCGACTATACCTAACCTAACACTGTCAAGTTCATTCTGTATCATCTTCCTCTTCAGACAAGTCTGAATGAGTATCAGCTGTAGAACTGTATTGACTTGTCAAGTCACTTTCGGTCAGATCTCCACGTTTAGATGGTTCTTCTGAAGGTGTAACATTAGGATTAGAAATATCAAGGTCTTCTTCGTGAGGTGTGGGGCTCCTGGCAAATTCTGATTCATCCGCAACACTTGACTGTCGGGAGGAAAAGAAGTCTGATTCACCTTCTGTTGTGAAATTACTCTCGTCATCTGCGTACAGTGCGTCGTCTTCACTAACGCTGCGATGACGACCATTCGCCTCTTTCAATTTCGGTATGTTTTTTGCTTTTCTTGAATTCTCGTTGAGTGAATTCTCATCCTTCTCAATTTTATCAGTCAACGTATCCCCAGGCATAAGTATCTCGACCTTTTTTAGGAGCTCTTCATTCTGTAACATGAGCTGTTTCGCTTTCTGTTGCTCCTCCATGGCGAAATTGTTCGCTATCATCACAGCGTGACGTAAGTCCTCTTGGAGGAGTTCAGAATCCCGAAGCTTTTCCTCAGTTTCATCATTGAGTGCTTCGAGTCGGGAAATTATATCGTTCGACTGTCGGAGTTGGTCGTCGGATTTTCCGAGCAAGGCCTGTAAGGTCTTGATCCCTTCCAAGTGGCTGTCCACTTCTGCTGTTACTCTTTTGAGACTGCCATGAGACCTTTTTATTCGGGTGTCCATGACAGAATCTCTTCTTTTTAGCAAGTATCGGCGAAGTGATTCAACCTCATCTTGCAGATGTTGTTTCTCCCGGCAGACACGATCTAGGTTCGACTTCACAGTCGACGCTTGTCGCTTTAGCATACGCTCGCCGGGCGCAGGTTTCCGTGGCCTGGATTCCTTTTCTTTTCCAGCATCGTCATCTTGCAAAGTGCCTGGAATTAGAAAAATTTTGATGAGTTCTTTCTAATACAAATTGCATGATATTGAGGCTCAGGAACACTGAGCCTCAAGGAGGGGTGGGGTGGGTGCGTGCGTTTACGAACACCCAATGCAACTGAGTCAGGCGCGCCACAGGCGAGGTCGAGAGAAAGCTTACTTTTTTTCGCTGCCGGACTCGCGTAAATCTCTTTTAGTACTCGCCACAAAAACCCCAAAATCAAACAACGCATATTTCTGTAGACTAACTTGACCTTCAAATCATGGTATTCCCCTAAGGGACTTACCACAGTGACAAAGGTTCTAAGCAGTGTCATCGTATAAACCAACCTCTATGGAGAAGTATGCTCCGAAAAACATGTAATTTATCCCCAACATTTACATATGTATTCAATGTAGATGAACTTGTGACACTGACTGCGCTTTGGAGATGAAAATTAGGTAGTTCGGCTTTGCTCGAGGAGATTTTAAAAGTGGATTTTGTCCTTGCGACCAACAATTTCTACTTTCAGTGTGCAAAAGTTAGAATGTCTCCGCGAAGTGTCCTCAAAAATGGGAAAAGGTGCAAATCTGAGTTCGCTTTTAAAGTATAGATGTCTGCTCAACAGAGGTTCGTTTAACCCTTTACACCCTAACATCAGTAAACATATTCTCCATACTGTTCTCGATACATTTCCTAAGGTGCTGACAAGGAGAATTTGTATAACAATCAGGAGCTTCTTTAATTGGTGATCATTTCCTTTTTTCTTGTGACCTTTTACTTGTGATTCAGGGATGATATTGCAAGGAGAAATTAGATGCTGGTCACCCTCAGGGGTTGAAGGGTTAACAGTGGGTAGGGAAAGAAAAATTTGACTCTTTTCTTGGTTACTGATTGTTTTCAACAATAAAAAGATGTCCAGTTTGTAAATGAACGCGTGTTTATTTATTTTACCTTGGGCATTACTTTCTCCTTTGGCCAGTCGTTCCTTAAGCTTTCCGAGGTCGTTTTCAATGGCTGCCACTAAACTTGCCAGTTCTTTATCCTTAGCATTAGTTGACGTCACATCCGGTTCCTTCTCCAAATCCGTACCACTTTCTGTAGAAGTTTGTGGAACACTAACCTTCTCCTCTTCCTCCTCATCTGACGACGATGACGCATCGGAATATTCCTCATTTGAAGTTGGTTCATTTGATTTATGTTCTTCTTGTGTGAATGACTGCGCCTGCGTGATAATTTTGTCCAGAAGAGGCTGGGGCAGTGGAGATAGCGGTGACATTGGCTCGGTGTTTCGCATTTCAAGACATTTTAAAAGCGCTAGCTTCTCGTCCTGAATTTCCCTCAGGGAATCTTTTAGATTATCTCTATCCAGTTCAACACCTCTTAGCCGTGTTTGCAAGGAGTGTTTATCTTGCTTAGCTTTTTCGGACAAGGCAGCATGTTCTTCTTCGAGTTTATCGTAATTTTCTTTGAGTGCATCAAACTCTTCGCATAACTTATCAAGATTTGACAACAGCTCTTCTTTTTCGTCATTGGCTTCGTTCAAACTAGATTTTAACTGTCTGTTCTCAGCTTTGATTTTTTTCAGAAGCATCCAAGTTTTCTCGTTCTCATCGTCTTCGACTTCACTCTCAGTATCCTCCTCCTCGCCCTCAGTCCTCTGCCCTGAACTAAAACTGTAATCAGACTCAGACAACGACAACTGAAATCGATACTTGAGTTGTTCTCTGCGAGAGATGGAGTCTGTATTGCGAGAGATGGAGTCTGTATTGCTGGAGATGGAGTCTGCTTTCCGAGAATGTTCAATGACCTTTGGTTCATCTTGATTTTCATCGTCGTTATTTTCAGATTCAGAGTCACTCTCCTCTCTTTCGTTTTCTTCCTCCATCACATCATCCACCTGGTGCCCGGAATGAAGGTTTAAAATACTCATCAGTAAGGTTTGTTTCTCTTCTTGAAGTCTTCCAACTTCGTCTTCTAAATCTATGACTTTTTTCTCAGCTTCCACAAGGTTAGAACCCAGTTTCTCCAATTCCTTGCTCTGCTGATTTGTCGATTGCAAGTTCTGTACGTCTTCTCTGTAACAAAGCACGTATTTAAGGTACTTCGCTTCACGTCGTAGCTCCTTCATTTCCTCCACAGCTTCATCTCGTTCGCCTTCTAGTTTTTGGAAAGAATCTTTAAACGAGTCTAAATTAGATTTTACACTTGCTAATTGCTCCCGAAGGCCAGTACACCCTGAGCAATCAGACCCTTTGCTTGGCGGAGTTAAAGGCAATTCATTGTTTGCGCGGCTCTCTTGTTGCTCAGCGCTTGTTTTTGTCGCGACTTCTTCGACTTCAGAAATTCTACTTTTTAAACACTCGACTAAGAGTTTGCTCTCCTCAAGTTCTCTTAGGAGCAAGTCTTTTGACCGAACCTCGTCACACTGTGTATCTTTATCGATAGTTTTGGTGTCATCAAATACTTGTGTTTCCTTTTCGGCTTTTTCGCTGTTTTCGTTCTGCAAACCACTGATAACCCGTTCCAAACCATCGACACAATTTCGCATGGTACCAACGAGTTCAATTCCATTTTCAACAATCTGTGACTGTAAACATTTATTTTCCTCTTTAAGCTGTAAAACAGAATCATTTAGTGACTGCAAACCTTGCAAAAGTGTTGTAATTTTTTTCTTGGATAGTCCATCTTGCAATATCAGCTTGCTATTCGAAGTAGTTAATTTTTCAATGTTTTCGATGTACTCTGTAATTGATTTCGTTTTGTCTTCGTTTTCCTGCGTCAGAGTAGATTTCAATTTTTCCAGCGCCCTTTCGTTAGCCCTTAGTTCTTTTATCTGCTCTTGGCTCGTTTCCAGAGCCATTTTCAATTTATCGCCTTCAGCCTGTAAGCCATTCATTTCCTCTTTGAGCTTTACCGAGGACGAACTTAGCGTTTCGAGTTCACGTGTTTTTTTCTCGTTTTCCTGGACAACTTCGTTGACCTGCTTCTGTAAATGAAGTTTTTCTTTTTCCAAGAGTGGTACAACAGCCAGACGATGTTCCATGCCCTGTAATTTCGTCTTCAGCTCAAGATTTTCTCTCTCAAGCTCTTTAACTTTATTCTTCATTACTTCCAAGTCAGACTTAGCTTTTCCTGCTGAAAAAAAGTACATTGTTTAAAAAAAAACCCTGGCATCGAATATCCTGAAAGCTATATTAACTTCTACATCACCTAGCTAGGGTTACTGTTTTACTAGTCTCGTACCCAGACCTTTCACGGCCAAGCGGTTGAGAGGTCGCTACATTTCAGTTCCAGTTACACGATTGAATCTGGGTATGAGGTCATTGTTTTACATGAGCGGATTTCACGGGGGGGGGGGGGGGGGTCTGCCTTCTTCCAAAAAAATTGTCCGTCTATCTTCTTGTTTATGTCTATAGAATCAGTCTTGCTTCTCTATCTGTTTACATCCTTGCCTTCTCTCCCTGCTTGTCTGCCTGTCTGACCATGGTCTGCCTGTCTGCCTGTCTGCCTGTCTGCCTGTTTAATAACCTTTGAGTTTCTGTTTAATTGTATGTTTTATCGCAAATACCTGTTGTGTGCACATCACTCGCGGCAGCTCCGGTAGATTTCTTTTTTGCCTGCATTCTGCAAGACCAAAGCAAACAATAAATTCAGCGAGTGAAACTTTGTAACGTTTCGTTATTAAAAATTACATTTGATACAGTAACGACCAAGTAAGTAAATGTTCACGACTCAAGTCAGGCAGCCAGCGTAGCGATCAGGGGCTTGCTTCTCGAAAGTCCCGGTAACTTAACGGGCCCAAATCCATCTCTTAAAATCAAAATGTAAAGAACAGAGGTCAGGTTCTGACACCCTGACAAATTCATTTTGTTTTTTTCAGCTGATAACTTTATTGCATAATATTCAAATCTTTTGAAAGCCCGCCGGATCTTTAATGAAAACAGAACAGCTTTACAGGCTGCTTAAGTTACCGGGACCTTCGAGAAACGGGCCCCAGGCCTTGTAGAGCAAAGGGAGGCGGGATAATGGGTTTAACCAGCTCTTCCAGCCGAATTATTCACCGAATATATTAGTTTTCAGTTAAGTGTTGAAAATAATCCGGGATTGTAATGTTTCAGGTTAATTTCGCTTTGTGATCGGCTCAAAAAGTTAACTCACTTTTCGCCAATCAGAGGATCTGAATGAGGTCTGCCGTGACTTTCTAGCTTTTTCAGCTCGGTTGTTTTGCGACCCCCGGCCTTTGTGGCATCTTTCGGTGTCAAGTGTCGCCTCATCGCTTTTGGAGAGGAAGCAGGACTGACAGATTTTGGAGTTCCTGTGGGACTGGACTGGGCACTCGAGGAAAATGGAGTTAATTTTGTTTTTTCCCCTGCAGTGAAGGACCTTGCTCTTGGCTTACCTACAATGATCAAGAAGAACTTAGTTAATATCATCCCATTTACACATAATACTTCCAAAAATGAAATATCAGTGAAACTTATAATATGCAATGCGGTGCAGTAATTTCATTGTTTCTTCCATCTTGTGTTGTTACAAGAGTTTACCGTGTTGCAGGTTCCAATTCGTCTTTACGACAAGACAACCTTTACGGGCAGCCGTAGATAATTCTAACTCAGTATATTGACATATAGTGTGATGGTCAATCGGTAACAACTACCCCCCTCCCCCCCTCCCTCTCATTTTAAATAGTTGATCCGCCCCTGAACAGGAAGATGCAGTAAACGTACTCACTGAAATCATCGATAACCTAATTAATGAACCTCCGAATTTTTCGTCTATCCTTCGACTTAAAGGTTTGGAATACAAAGGAGCCTAATTTTCGTCACAAACACTAAAAACCATGAACATATCCATCCAAGAGGGAAATCTAATTTTTATTGAAGCGTAAGAAAAAATTGTCTTAGATCTTTGTATCTTTGGTAAAGCAGAAGTTGTGTTTTATTCATAGTTTTGTTACAAAAACAATCATTGATATAAATTAAAAGATTTCATTGTCTCTTTGGTAAACAGACAAACACTAATAAATATAATGTATATGTTCGGGCTCAAATTTTTCTTTGATGGAAAAATTTTCAAACTAGTTTGAATTTGTTATTTATTTCAAATCGCTTGCCAGGATCTCCGATGAGAAAAAAAAAACAGAAGATCTACCACTTGAGAATTTTTAAACCATGAAGGGGAAATTTGAACCGCATGATATATCGGAAATCCTTCACTCAGCAGACAGTCTACATTAAAATTGAATGGTGCAATATTTCTCCGTGTTTGGTGCCCAGAAAATGCGTTTGTAGAGTTCCTAAGACAATACAGTTAAGTTTAGTGAAAGGAAATTGTCCGTTATAATAAAATGAATGGTATTCTTCAGTTTTGAATGACAGCAATGGTATTAAATTTGACGTAAGGGAAGCAAATAGACAAGCAAACCAAAGCAAAACGGCATTTATTACATGAATAAACAGTAAATAGAAATGAGGGCCAATGATATACCGGTTAATGAAAAAACTGACCCTAACATTCCGAACATTATCGGATATGCCAAGGAAAATTATCTTCCAATCGTGTGACCCGAGGGTGCCATCTCCGTACGCCATATTACAATAATTTGTTTCATTATTTTGTTCAATTAAAGACTGGATGAGTGATTGAATGGTTTCCCTCAAATTTAAAGCCATTCATTACCCCCGTAACACCAAAACAAATATAAATCTAATCCACATAGTTCTGTCCACGACCTTTCAATGTACTAAATCAACACAGAAAAACATACCATACATGTAGATATCAGCCCTCTGGTCATGCAACGAATGTAGAGTAAATCCAACACGATGTCGCTACGTTATCACTGGCTTAATCGTGACGCAAGTCACTCGCGAAGCGAAAATTAGTAAATTTCTGCCCAATTTGCAACAGCAAATAGCACTGAGCACAAGAAAACTGAAAGGCAGACTCCAGACTGGCAGAAAGCCGAGGGGATTGAGTATTAATTTACAGACTATAAAAAAACATGAGTTTGTCTTGATTTCACGCTTGACGTCAGAATGAGGAATATGTCAAAAATGTACTTTTGATAAAATATATTTTCACGTTTAAACATTGCTTCAAACTACAAAGTAATAACCCTAAAAACTCCTGAATTTTAAGCAAAATTGATAGCGACTCTACCACTCTCATCAGACAGTCTATTAGAAGAATTATCTTTAAAAATATAATTGGCTATGCATGACATCAAGCTATCATGGCTCTGTTTAAGAACTTAGACCTTTACATACGGGCTCCTCTGACGGTTAAGCTGGCACAAAATAATTCTTTTGCGTGTTTGAAAGGGATTTAGAACCAAAAAGGTCGACTTGGTCGCCATTTTGTGGTCATTTCTGCAAAATGTAATTCGCCACGAATCAAGCAGGTGTTGAACTAATGGCTAGAAGAGCCTTTAGGACTCAAAAGTTAAGAATTGGTATGGATAACGAAAGATTTAGGAACGTCTAAGTATTTATCAGAGTCGGAATGTGGTAGAAGATGATCGCCGATCGGTCAGACTAACATAGGGACATTTTAGCCTTTTTACATTCAAATTAACACATTACCTCCAAACGGTACTTTCAGAGCCATCGAACTCGCAGCTTTGCCTGTAGGGTTTTTATGCTTACTTGCTTCTTTGCCCATGATCTTTGGAGAATGTGCCTTAGCGAGTACTTGTTTATTATCTTTGATGTGATGATCTGAGGAATAGAATTTAAATGGTTGAGACACACTTTAGATCCTTTCTCGTGGAAGACCGCCTCTTAACAAACTTCTTCACCTTCTTTAGAGCCACAGGTCACAACAACAGGTTGTGCGCGCCTTTATCGCTATCGGTGAACATATTTCTGTTTCGTTGGTTTTTTTTATCAGGCTTCGGTCCGTAAATGGGAATCACTCTGAACGCTGTCACGCGATGTGATGCTATTTACTAGCGTTGGCAGTTAAATACTGCTAATCCTTTCCTGGTTTATGTATTGGAAGCATAAGGAACACATTTGATTATTCACGAAAACTAATAAATGCACAATGAAAGATCATTAATACTGATCATTATTCAAATACTACAATTTTTTTCGGCGCGGTCGACTGATTTCGGAGCCATGGTGATATTGTAATAATTAACAAATTTACGTTCATACATTAACGCAGATTTCAACAAGCACGTACTAAGTTAACTGATATTGTCATCATGAAAAAAAAAAAAAAAAAAAACGGACTTTCACCGATCAAAAATTATCTTCGCATCTTAGACCAACAACACTTCATGAAGAAAATCAAAATGCCAAGTCATTCTAACTTTACGGAAAAGTTAAAATGTATAACATGTAATTTAAGGTTTCCGCATTGTAAATATTGCACTCCTCCTGGGAGTGAAAACCTCGCCAGACGAAAACTACTTTTAAATCACGGCTGGCTATGTCATATGATACATACCTTTAGAAGAAATCTTTCTTTTGCCTTGTGAGGGAGAGGGCGGAGAGGAAATCGCACGTGGTTTGTTCACAACTCCTGCATCCGCCATGTCTCGAGACACACCCTTGCCATCATCCGGAGTTAACAACGAGGTGTTTCCCTTCGGAAGTGATGGCTGAGAGGGCGACATTTTATTCATAGCAGAGAAAGAGTCGCCCTCTGTTTGTTGTGCCGTTGTGCTTGATTTAACTACGTGCTGGGAATTAGGGCTCGTTGTCAAGTTCGATTCCTTAATCATGGAAATTGAAACTTCGCGAGTGTCTGCTTCTGCGGTGGAATCTCTAGGTGAGGAACTTGGCAGAGACTTTTTGTTCGCAAATGGCGAGATAGGAACACTTTCGCCGTTTTCATTTACCTGAAATGGAACGCAGACCGAAACAGAAGAGGCCCACGCATCTGATTGCTGCTCTACTCTGGGGGACTGCTGTTGACCTTGAACTTGAAAAGGTATGGAAACCTTAACTGAGTCATTTACAGACTTTGTACTTGTGGGAGAACTGGTTGGAGAAATGTCCTTTACACTTGCGTATGATGGGGACATCGAAACAACCATGGGTTCTATGTCAGTTGCGGGCCAGGATAAGTGTTTAGGCGCAGAATGCCGTCGTTGGCAGAGTGAATGGGTATTTTTTCCCATCCAATTTTCATCAGCTTTCTGTGGTGGCCATCTCGCACAAATTTTACTCACTTTCGTGCCTCCATTTAGCTCATCTCGTTCCGCTCGTTGGTGGTTTGCCTTTTCTCCTTCAGTATTACTCGAAAGAAATTTACTCTGCAAACTGATCGATCTTGTTACAGGAACTTTGCTGGGAGTAAGCTTATTCTGATCCAATGCTGCGGGCTGATAGGTAGGCTGAGTAGTATCGCTATACCTTAGTGTCTGCGAGTTCCCGCTCCCAGTCGGTTCTAGGTCGACAATCATTGCCTCTGAGGCTAGCCGCTTCGGCTCTGGCGAGAATGGTTTTGAGGTAATTACATTACCATTCTGCTCATCACGTTGGCCATCTGTTTTGTCGCCGAGGAGAAACTTCTCCTGAGTTTGACGTTTTGTCAACACTGACAAAATTGTGGATCGCGCTTTTTTCTTTATGATATTTCCATTATGTGGGAAAACTGATGGCTTTGAAGGGGCTGTAAGATCAAAAGGAAAGATTAAAAAGCTTTTTAACTGTACAAATCATTTGTTGAGTTGTTTTTTATTCCCGTGCATGACGAGCTTTTCCTTAGATTGTCGTTAAACAGAAAGCAAAGTAATCACAAAAGCCAATCAGAAGATAGGAAACTAACTTTATAAGCCAATGAGAAATCAAAATAAAACCGATCAAACCCACTAAAGCGCGGGAAAATGCGGGCCACCAATTCGTAATTGGTTTTAGTTTTGCATCTGATTGGTAGAAAAAGTGGCGCAAGTTTTTTTTTTGACTAATCACGAGGGACATCAACAAAACAATCCCAGATTACATTCGACACTAAATTAAAAATTTGCTGTTTTCACGGTGCGATAAGAGCTGTTAACAATTCTTGCGCTTGTTCTTGCGTCGCTCGTAAAAACCAGGCTTTAGTTAAGAAAACATTGATGTCTTTAGTCACCTGTGACCATTTCACCGCACAGGGTGAGGTGAAATATTGCGAGACTTTAAAGCTATTTAGGTTTGTACTTTTGAGATTTAGGCTCATTTATTTTTCCGTCAAAAAAAAAACAAAAAAACAAAAAAACATATATATATATTTATATATACGAAAAAGTGTACGTTCGCGGTAATAAATATGTCTTGGGCCCGACTCATTGTCATCTTAGCTCGTGCCGCTAGGGAAGGTTTAAAGTGACTCTGAAAAGGGCCCAAACACTAATATGTATGTATGCCAGCGAACAAAAACTGTACTACTATTATTATCACTTTAGAGAGCATCGAGAAAATAAAAACAGAACAGTCTGAACAATCACAGGAGCGTGCGAGCGACCAACATCTCCATTTTTAGCGAGCAAAATGCACTACAATGTCTGACAAAGTGATCATAATATGATTTTTCTTACCTTTATCGGGCTTAGAATTAAACTGCGACTTGGTGAACATGGTAGCAAATCTCCAAGGTCACTTGATTATCGGGAAGGCTTTTCCTTGAGATACAAACAAGAAAAGAAATTAGATTATTTTGTAGAAAAAATTACTTACTAGCCTTACTGCTTATCAAAACCTTGCAAATTAGGGTAAGACGAAATTATAACTGAATTCAATCGCGCATAACACGATTTCAGTTTCGCTGTTGACTAGAAACACTAAATTTGTCCAAACTATACCCCTAGAAGTCTTTTCCTATTAAAATAACGCTGGAAGAAAATAATTTAATCCCTGAAATTATTTTCGACTGCCTTCAACAAAACTGTAACGCCAAAAGGCTCAGAAGAACCTTCTTGCTGAGTATGCAAAACAACGCAAATCAAGAAGCTGAGCATTTCTGAATTTGGCGATGTTTATGTGCATTTTTAACCCTACGTGACTGGCGGTTTTGGGAGTATTTCTTTAAACTGGGGGCATGTAAGTCGCGAAACGCGCTGCGAAGGTGCTCGTCGCTTCGAAATGTTCTTTGTTCCATTCATTAACCGCTCCGCCGCTCCAAAATTCCACAAAATCGCCAGCAACGCAAGTTCCGACAGTGTGGGTGTCAATTGCGTAATTGGGCCGAATAACATCGCACTCAAAACAACAAGTTAACACCTAAGCGCTTAAGAATATCATCCACTTCAAATTTGAAGAAAAAAAAAAAAAAGAAAAGAGTTGTGATTAAGGAGTCGAATACTATTATTAACAGACCGCATACAAATCTCTTAAGATTCTAATAATAGTTGTAAACTCCGTTCAAATTTGACATAAGGGAATGAAAGAGGCTGGACTTAGCTCTGAAAATATATGTTTACCTGTGCTGTTTCTCGGAGAAAAGTTCTAAGAAGAAAGAAACGATTTCTCTTTAATAAAACCACACAATAAATATGAACACTGGAAAATAATGACATGAAGACAATAAATTGTGTCCCAAGTTTAATTCAACGTAGTAGACTTTTCAAACGGAGCGGTAAGCAATTCAAGTGAACAGGCAAACATCTTGTTCACGATGGACATGGCATCGAACATAGCAAGTGTCGCCTGGGCGAACTTACCGTTAAATGGCTGTAAATGGCTCCATAAATCACCTTTTTCCTGCGGACCTGAGGAAGATTAGTGTCAAGGGGAGAATAAAGAAAACTTAGAATATCAATCTTTTTAATAAAAGAGTACAAATGAGTACCTAGTAGAGAAATTTGTCGAGTTGATATTTTTCGATGAAGAGATTTATTTGAGTGCTTTTCAAGAAGATGACATTTGCGCAAATGGCTGTTGATCGCAACCTTCGTCCAATTTTGCCAGTTACGTCTCAAAATTATCGTAAATGATTAGGCATTATTTTGAAAGAAGCCTTCTCGTTTTTACCTGACGTGTTTGCGTTACTCATTATACCACAGATTGATGGCAATCATGGAAATTTACTTTGCAACAATCAATTTAAGTTTGACAAGAATTGAAAAATTTGAGTTGGCACTTAGAATTTCAGGACAGCGTAAATAAAACGTGCTGTAATCTTGAGTGAGAGATTCTCGTGCGGTTTGGGTCGCGTGAAATGTTGTAGTTGTACACACATTGACTGGTACAATGTACACAATTTCATAACTTAATTCGTTCATAAACAGAACGGCTCATTTGCCTTTGACAGCATCTCTCAAATAAGTCACTGCGCCAAAATATCATCAAATATCACTGAATGGATGGATTCATCAAAACTTGGCATCAAACGAATGATTTAGTGATTTCCACCGCTTTATCGCAGCTTCATAACCTCTAAATGGCCATGCAGCCGAAAAGGTGAACTCTCATGTATTATAGAGGAATCCAAGGTCTTGAAGAGCAAATTTCTACACAGATTACAGATATAAATGTCATACTGCGAGAAACTGTTGCGAGGTGGCAGGAGTAAACAAGCGTAAAAGCATGAACTTGCTTATACTATAAGATACATTTTAAATAGATTACAGACTAAAACCAACAGCAGGGTGAAGGTAAGTGTAAAGAGGTTACATACCCCGATGGTTGAAATACAGCTCAGAAACACGATCCAAAGTGGTCTGGAGATGTAACTTTTAACGACGATCGATCAAGAAACCTGTTCAAGACTGTGTCGGATTACGCTTCAGTGCCCTCAATTGCGGTGGTTTCTTGAATTTAAATGACCTTAGGGATTGTGTTAATGTGCACTCCAAACAGAGGGCCTCAAATTGTTCAAAACCTTAGCTGGAAATTCTTAGCTATCGTATAAACTCTCTATCTCATTGTCAAAAGTAATTGCAATTTTGCACACAGCGGGTATCCCTTATGACATGGAATGAAAAGAATGCAATAATATACAGACCTTCAGTGATATTGTTCACCTAAAAGAAAGCATGCATAACAGTCCAAAGTTTTCTGTCAAAACAAATTCAGTTAGGATCATTCCTACACATGAATGCAACAGTGACAAAGCTGAGCATCATTCACTCATCAACATAAGCGAAGTGATTGCTGACAGTTTGAATATTTTTTTCTGGCAGATATCACTCCATTCATTTGACTTGATTCGCTTTGGAAATTTTAGGAAGCACAAAAATCGCAAAAATCACTATCACGAAAAATATTATAATCATTTATTTCCCTCGGAAAAAAAAAAAAAACATGGTTGATGAAATGAGGTTAATTTGTTTCTTCCCATGGAACAAGGACATTCAAGGTCTTTAAAAAAACCAGCGGATTATCTTTTACGAGACAAAGTTACGGAAATGAGGTAAATTAATCCTTTCAACACGTGAGCAGTGTGGATTGAAGGGATCTCCATTTGTGACCTTGGTCAACACGACTGGCTTGGTTTGCGCCAGCTTCCCACATCACTTTGTGATCTGTAAACAGTTCATTAACTTCGAACGAGAGAGGGGTCAACGAACGCTGGCCGTTTTGTTTTCGTTTTGTTTTGTTTTGTTTTTTTCAGTTTCCTTTCTGTCGTCGATCTCGTTAACTGGAGTGAAATATTTCCTATTTAAAAACGTAACTTTTTAGCGCAGAAACCAAGACGCGAAGCGGAGTGGTTTCCAGCTTATCGAGTGTTCTCCCAACCTCCCAAGTCTTTACATCAGGCTATGTATGTAGTCTTTACATCAGGCTATGTATGTAGTCTTTACATCAGGCTATGTATGTAGTCTTTACATCAGGCTATCTATGTATTCGCGAAAGGTGGTGTCGTTCTCAGTTATTCAAGTCACTTTGAGCTGTCTGAGGTGTTTTTTTCTGTCTGAGATGTTAGTGTGGTCAAACAAAGCTAACACACTGCCAGCACCAAGTTGTCTTTTTATTCACATTTAAAAAAGAAAAGTTGAGTTAAAGCAGTGGGAAAAGCTAATTTGTGCACTGCATCATTCAGTTTACTGTTACAAGGCATCCATTTTTTTCTTTTTACTGTACGATCTTTCTTCTTTCAGATTCTAAAAGGTAGCAAAAAGAGATGGTTCTCCCAACCTCCCGCGTGTTTTACATCAGGCTATGTAAACCCGGAAATCATTTTACATTTCTTTTATAAAATAACTAGCGAAAGAGGAACGAAAACCGTGTTTACATACGCTCATTAAAAAATGGTTTTATGGCCAATCAGAGCGCGCGTACTATTTAAATTATTTTATAAACATAGATGTCACGTGTACACGAACCTCTTCACGGCCGGTCATCCACCGAAACCACCTCGGTCGAGAGAGACTGAGATGGAATATTTAATAGCTTGCAAATCATAACCGAAGATTTTCGGAAATCCGCGAGATGACATAGCCGAACAACCGAAGCTGTAAATCCCATGATTCTTGAGGAACAAACAGAAACAACATGGCGGAAATTTTAAAGGAAAAACCTTTGCTTTATGGTAGAGATGCGGATAATTTTGGATACGTTTATTTTGTTGATGAGGCGTGTAAACTTATTGTGGGGTTTGAAACAGGATCAACGACGAAGTTCTCTTGCTTTAAAGCTGATAAAGGTTTCGGAAGTGTTCAATTGCAAGCACGGCATAGATAGAACAGCTGGAGAGAAAGGGAAACGAAAAGATGCAGAACAGGTACTGTACATACATATTTTCTTTTTATCCGCGACATTGGTGTTATTACTGTCACCTATGGCTTGCTAATCCGAAAGGTGAAATAAGCATATAGATGGGTCATATAACATTGACCTCAGAATACTTTTCTGACAAACGTGATAACAGTTCAATCTCGGCTAAATTGAAGATGGTTTAAAAGTTAACAATTACAAAAACTTTTCACTAACGTATGCTGCTGACCAAAGAGAAATATGCGCAATTCAGCGTTTTTTGCTTTCTATCAAGCTATCATATGTCGGCTCCTTATCTTTCAAGGCATCACGTTATGACACTTCCTTTTCGTCACATTCCAAAAAATAACTTGAGAAATACACTATCACTCATCTTACATTGAAGGCTGGAAACAAAGATTTCGTTTTAAAAAAAAAGAAGATTTCTTATTCAAGACACACGGAAGTTTGACTGCAAAGAACAGATAATATGTGAGAAATTTTATTTTTTCAGAGAAAAAGGTAGTTCTACTCATGTAGAAACAGAACGAATACGGTTTAACAAATCAGATATGCGGTATAACTGTCCAAAATTCCTGCTACATAGTCACCTTTTTTACTTGAATGATGATTTGTGAAAGGTGGTGTCATTCTCAGTTATTCAAGTCACTTTGAGCTGTCTGAGGTTTTTTTTTCTGTCTGAGATGTTAGTGTGGTCAAAAAAAGCTAACACACTGCCAGCACCAAGTTGTCTTTTTATTCACATCATGTGAATCAATTTTAAAAAAGAAAAGTTGACTTAAAGCAGTGGGAAAAGCTAATTTGTGTACTGCATGAGTAGCATTCAGTTTACTGTTACAAGGCATCCATTTTTTTCTTTTTACTGTACGATCTTTCTTCTTTCAGATTCTAAAAGGTAGGAAAAAGAGATGGAAAACTGCATC